TGTTTCATTCCAAATCCATTGTGGTGGTGTATAGAGCCAAAGATGTTAGAATTGTGTCAATATCCCAATATTTCTGGACCTGACTGTAGATCTATCACCACTGCTGTCTTCTGGTCCTTGTCTACTACCACGATGTCTGGTTGATTATCTAGTACCTGCCTGTCTATCTGGATCTAGAAGTCTTACAGGATCTTAGCCCTGTTATTCTCCACAACCTTCTGTGGAATCTCCCATCTGGTCTAGCCCATACACTGTGCAGATGTTCCTGTACACAATGCCAGCTACTTGGTTGTGCCGTTCAGTGTTTGCTGTTCCTGCCTACATCTTACACGCTGCCACCATGTGTCAGACTGTCTCTCTCTGGACAGTCTGCACCTTGGGTCCTGTTTAGCGTGGTAGGCCCCTGCTGCTATGGATCTGGTGCTTAGTGCCATTCTTATGCTGCTATGATCAGTGCCTCAGTGCTGTCTTTCAGTCCAGCCCTTTCCAGCCACTGGTAGGATTTCCCAATGTCAGCTACCTCAGCTATCTGTCGATGGTACAATATACATGTATGTATATTATACATTAGAACTAGAGTACAGGGTCCACTTTAATGGTGTTTGTTGATCTGAAAAGTGGACCCTGTACTCGTGGGAATATGCTAGGAAGGAGATAGAGGAGGGGGGGGGATGATGTAGCAAGAAACATTACCTCTTGTCAGTAATGCTGGCATCCAAAGTATTATAGAGATTAACTTTCCATTCATCCTGCAGCTTAAGGTCTGCATTACTGAAAATGCCCATTAGAATACTAGACCCCATGTAATCAACACGAGCTTCAGTAGAGCCCATGGTAATCTGAATTTTGTGACTTGGCTGCTGGTTGGGATGTTCTGAAATATGAGCTGAAAAACATTTATACATCAGTTTAGTAGCAAAGGGAAACAATGAAATATACCACTTTGGCCTTCTGATATTAGCCTGCAATTAATATCAAAAGGTCTTCAATCACACACACACACACTCGCGCTCTCGCTCTCTCTGTATATAAGTGCACACACAGATGGACAAATACTGTTGAGACTGGCCAGAAAACACTGATTTTAACAATTTGTGTATACTCAATTTAAATGGGTCAAAGTTTGAACTGATGTGATGGGAGATACCTGAGTAAATGCTGGTTTTTCAATTAAAAAAAACACAATTAGCTGACGTCTATATTCACTATATAAAAACAACTAATCATTGTAAAAAAAAACTTGCTAAATTTTCAACTTACCCACCATCTCCAAGGCATTAACATCTATGGTACCGCCAACCACTCCTCCTCTAGAATCCAAATGTGATCTTCCCAGACCTACTGACATGCTAATTTCCCGATCCCTGTTACTGCCCACAGATAAACGACCCTGGCTTTTCAGACCACTAGTAGTCCACCTAAAACATGCACAAAAAATATGGAGAAAATATTGTTTATCTTATTTGTCCATTCACATGCAAAAATGCAAGTTGTGAAATGCATTTAAAGTAGTAATAAATGTACAGTATATCGTAGTAGAGACACAATTCACTCATTTAGACAAAACAAGATGGAGACAAATTTTCAATTTTTGATAATAAAAATATTAATGGACCCATCACTAACTGAGACTTCTATGACTATAGTAAGATAAGAACAAAGATAAAGCATTTGGCAAGTTCTGCAGCTAATCAATGTCTTCCACAGCTGATTTTCAAGGAAGTCTCTGTTCAAAGTCCTCCATTTCTACACAGCATAACCTGAAATAAAAGTAGATGCTTCCTGGATCAAAAGGGATTCTTCAAATACACCTGCATGTGCATGCACACACACTTTTACATGTTTAAAATAATTATCTGGGACATAAAGAAAAAATCAGAGGGTTTATTAAAGGGTTTCCTTACGTAGTGTTTCCCATCACGTTGCTCATATTCATTTGGACATTTAATTGTTTCAAGTTCATAGCAAATACAACCAGTGTTTCCCATGGTGTCACCTGCTGACTTCCAGCTTTATTTGATTTATTAAATGGAGTTGATGTTTTTGACAGTAGATCTGGAGTTAAACACAAAGCAAATACTGTAAATGTAATATTGCAAAGTATTAATTTGAAAACAAATCAAGTATTAATGCTACTCTGCAGATTTTGTTGGAAAATACTTCAGAATAACTGAGTCCAAATAGGAATTCTCATACTGTTATGATGATTCTTTATATCACCTCCCTCTATTGGCACACAATAGTGTCATGGACATGTTCTACATGATCAATTTAATCTATGGAGGAAATTTATATGCTTCCAACACAACCTTTTCTTGGTGACTGAAAATTGTAACATGGTAGTTCTCACAACTGAATCAGTTTTTAAACATCACAGAGTACTGTAAATCTAAATGTTATCAACTGTGATGCTCAGAAAATACATGGGACTACAAACATGAACTTTGTGTACTGCCAAAGTTTTCTTGAAGTTTTGTCTTTCAGCTCTAATAATTAAAAAAGCAAAGGATTTTTTTTTACAGCTAAATAGTTATACTTTTGTTTAACTGACAGAGAACTGAATAGAACCTCACAATATTTGATCAACTGAACTGGGAGAAGAAATTATTTAGGATTTTCTTTTCCAAATCTTCCAAGATAGGTTTGATCAAATATAATCAGTACTTTTAGTATTTTTTTCTTTCCAGAAAAAGATTGAAATTTTAAGCTCAGATCCATCCAGTGTTGCCTGACTGAATTTCCAGTCCTGCAGTGAACTTCCTCTACCTCAGTTCTCAGTACTGTTCAAAGGTGTTTCTCAACCCTTAGAGATGAAAAGTTTTATGGAAAAGAAATTAATGATTCTGTTTTGTTTGAATAAAAATAATAAATCAGAGCAATTTTTAGGATAATACCATAAGCTATTCTCCTTTTTTCTTTTAGGTTAAGTGACAAGATTCTAGTTATCATAATAATGTATGTCAATACATTTCAGTGCTTTACATGACAAATGATTAACTGTTGATGACTATTTTTATCGAAGTATGATCAGTTGGCTATATTAAACACTGGCGTATGATTCAAAATAGTAAAATTAAGCTTTCTCTCACCTTTCTGAGGGACTGAAGAATCTGACACACTTCTGGATCTTGCAACAGCAGGGGATTTTAGGTTATGAGATGCTGTTCCAGGGGACATATTGGAACTGTGCTCATTGAAAACACTTGGTGACTGAGCCATATGGGTAAATGAAGCAGACTGACTTGGTTGCTCCCAGGTTCTACAGTATGCTTTTCTTGATGATTCAGGAGACATGTGCTGGTTCATTCCTTCGATAGAATCTGGTGTCCCAGGACCTGATGCTACTAGGAATAAATATAGCAAAATAAATAGTTTGCATCACAAATCGGCTTTTTATTAATTCAACAGAAATCTAACAAGATTACTACAATATGCCATTCTCCAATGTGACCCATTTATTTACTGAGAGTCCAGAGGATTCTTTCTTAAATTCTTTACAAAGAATTTAAACCCAACTAGATTAAGGCAACCAAGGGAAAAACATTCATACAGATTTCAAGCATGAACATTCTTTAATTCTTTTCCTATCCCACTACTTATTTCACCACAGCATTTCTAACCCCAAATTCAAAAATAACATGTTTCTAATGTCAATCAATCAATCACAGTAAGACTAATTATTATGAAAAAAAGATCTTCCGTATTCTTTTGGCAATTTACCTGGCAAATTTATTGTCTGGTCACCTAGAAAGAGGCGTCTTGCAATACTCCTTCTGTACCAGGCCCTTGGAAATGCTAGAATCTCACTCAGTCTCCTCATGTCATATTTAAAAGAAGCAGATCCTATGTCACAAACAGCTATAAAAATATTATTAAAAAGTGTTTATATTTTATGTTTCACATTATTTGATTCATTCCTGTAACATCTGTCATTCATAAACAGAAAGAGTCAGTACTTAATAGATTATAATGAAAATACTTAAAAATGGAGACAGTTCATTTAATTTAGATTGCAACAGCATCCTTCGCCACAAGTCAGATTGACTGGGGCTGCTATGAGTTTTAATTCAGCACAACACATAGGGCTACAGATTTTTCCACCTGGATCACGTTCATCCATGTCTGTTTGATTATTTATTTATTTAATTTGTATCCTGCTGCAATCAGTCTGACTTTTGGTGGCTATTGTAGATTTCGGGTCTAGAATATTTTTTACTTATCAGAAGAAACTTGCCTGTGTTATATTACCACTTTTTAAATCCTCTTTTTTAGGATTGTAGCCCCAAACTGTAAGTTCACTGCAGTAATAGCTACCTGAATAATGTTTGTATTCCTCTAATTTATTCAATGTTGAAATTTCTTGCTACAAGAAGAGTTGTCCCCATTTCCCTCAGCAGTTACTGGCACAATTTTATCATCTCATCTCAAAAAAGGACCAAAGAAAATTTAAATAGATGTTGAAAAATGACACCATTATATCAAAAGCTCGGTTTAGTGTTATGGTGAACCAGTTCAATACATGGTGATGATCAAAGGCTTAAATGGCTTTTAAACAGAACTACACAAATGTACAGGTCACGGTGGCATTAGTTTTGATTGCAGGTTCAAAAGCTGATATTCTTCTACATGCTAGAGGCAAGGAAGGGCAAGATCAAATAAGGAGCTGTTGTATTCATGTCCTATCAAATGTTTCCCAGACAGATCTGCCTGTTATTTTGATAATACAGGTATTCTCGCTTACCAATGGTAACTGGGCCTGGGAACTCCATTGCTAGGTGATGCAGTCGTAAGGTGCAATGTCACGTGACCATGCTGACATACAACGGCAGTTCCGGCAATCCAAGTTGCCATTGTTAGGTGAATCTCATGAAGTCACAGCATCTTGCAGTCATGTGATTGTCATTTGTGACCTCCTTCTGGCTTTCCTGTTGACTTTCCTCATTGGAAGCCAGCAGTGAAGGTCACAAATGGTGATCACGTGACTGAGGGATGCTGTGATGTCGTAATTGCGAGCCTGTTGCAAAACACCCAAATTGCGATCACACGACCACAGGGATGCTGCACCAGCCACAACTATGCTTACCATTGTAAGTCCTCTCATTCAGCGCTGCTGTAACTTTGAACAGCCACTGAACAAGGGAACATGGGGCAAGGACTAACTGAATATTGGTCTGTAAAGAGCTATGCCATGGTCAAGAAGGATCTTCTTATGTTCTTACATTTTGGTTAGTCAAACATTGCAGAGGAGAAAATACATAACTGCTTAAAAGGCAATTACTCAACATCCATTCAAAAGACCTACAATACCTACAGTATTACAAGAGAAAAATGTACAAGTCTGATACTGTAACATGTAATGCAATACTATTTTCTATGATGCACTGAGTTCATTAAATAGGATTGATAAATACCAGATATATTTATCAGTGTAGTATCCATCTTGTTGGCAGATTTGCTTGCAGACAGACCCTCAAAAAAGGTAGCACCTCCTGAACGCCTTATTCTTGATAGGCTAACTTTTACAAACTCAAGGTTGATGCTCAGTGAATCCTTACGACCAGTAACTGACGAGGGCTCTTCATCTATACTCCCTGAAACCATGAAGAACATCATTACTTTTTGGGCTTAATCTAAACAGGCCAAACTTGTTCTCACCTAATGCCTGCAGATGTTCAGCTTTGCACAAAATAATATGTGAACTTTGGCTGGTATAAAATACGGTTAATAAATGATTACTTGCTATATCATGTAACAATTATACCATTGTTTCTAAACATTTGAACAAAAAAAGCATTTTACTGCATTTACTGTATGAATGAGGCCTTACTACATAGATGTACTCTGAGATATGAATGCAAAAACCTATTTTTAATATACATTCATACACATGTAAAATATTTGCTTTTGGCTAAATCAGGACAAAATCATTTTTAAAGCAATCTTGCATTTCCTTTTTAAAGGCTTATTTAAAAAGTTTAGAAAACACCAATACATTCCTGTGAAACACAATATTCTCTCATTACCTGATCCAGAAGACAGGCCAGCCACAGTGGTTTTTTGCTTTCCTGCTCCATATGGATGAAATACATAAAGGGAGAAATCAGACATGCAGGCTGTGAAACTCAAACCTGAAGAGCTGCTGCTAGAACCTGTCAAATCTGACTGGCTGCTACTATGCCGTGTTCTGCCAAAAGGGCTACCTAATCCAAGAGATGAACCTAAAGCAGAAAAAGAAAAAGGGAAAGAAATGTAGAAAAATCACAAAGATCAGCCAAGTTTACTATCTTTGGAACAAAAGAGATAGAAACATATTTTGATGGCACTCCTACAATCATGCATTATTGGAGATGGCAACTCCAACAAAAAGTGTAAGCCTGGATCTTCTGGAAACATTCTTACAAATTATCTTGGACAGGCTTTCATTATTATTCCATAAATGACTTAGATCCTAAAGGACTGCCTTCTCCTCATATTCTCTCTCATATCCTAAAATCTGATGAAGAGATCTCTATCTGCATCCTGATGTGGATAAATGCTAGATTATTTGAAATGTGAGAGATTTTTTTTTTTTTTTGGTTTGTTTCTGTGCCACCTGTCCCCCTACCAGCACAATTTAGTCTAGTTCACTATTATAGTCACTGACCAGAATGTCATACTAGGCTAATTGGTAATTTGATAATGGAGCCCAGACATCACATTAAACCATTATATTTGTTTGGGTATAACATATGAGCACAACAATTCCATTCTGTTAATTTAGTGTCAGGTTTACAAAACAAGCTATTATGTCTGAAACTACAAAGTCCACAGTTTGTATTAATCGTTTAGGAAGCAAGCCAATTTCAAACTTTCATTTAGTCTGATCTAAATCAAAGTTAATACTAACCACAGGTTTCATTAAGGCACAATCATTGTTGGAAGTACAAACTTCTAATTTCTGTCTTTTAAGAGCACCAGGAGATCCACAATTTATTCTTGTAGGATTAAATTGTGATTCAATATTAGATCTGAATACAGCCTTCTTTTTAACTGTTTTTCAATATTTTAAAAATTAATTTTACCTGGTGAGATACTTTTAACTGACATCTTTGAGCCACTTTGTGAAGAATTTTCTGTAGGGCAGGTTGAACCTAAAGTTTCTAATTCCCCTCGATTGGAAGAAAACACAAGATCAAGGGATGGAAGTTTCAACATGCATTCTACGCGTGACACGGGTAAGCAGCTGAACTTGATTTGTGAAGGCTGAAGAAAAGAAAAATAGTGTTTAACATACATGGAAAATTGAAATGAGAAGAAGGCAACAAGCAAAAGAGCATTTTAAAAATGGAATACAGTGGTACCTCTAGTTATGAACTTAATCCGTTCCGTGAC